AAAAATTCTGAGTCTCCGACAGGAATCAAACCCATGACCTCCCGAACACTGGGCAGGCGCTCTATCCACTGAGCTACGAGAACTCGTGGAGAGCAATGTCCTTTAACTGAGTTCATATATGACAGGTATCATAGCCTGCAGAACAGGCATAATTTTTTTGCATATTTTAGGCAGAGACGAAAGCGAGGCACTCTGCCCCTTGCGCATGACTCGCGCTTCACGCTCGCCTCGCTTTCGCCTCTTTTTGCCTAAATATGCAAACAAATTACGCTTGTTCTCTAGGCTAATTGTATGAAGACTGATACATAGTGTTACTTATGAGAATTTGGGCCTGTCAAGATTTCCTTCCCATACATATTTTCTGGAAAGCGTGATTATTTTCACTCGTTGTTTCCTCAGTTAAAAAAGCTTTTCCTTTACAGCACCTTCAAAATAATCAGAGCATTTATTTTCTAACCCAGTTATGCCAAGGAGCAAGGAACCCTTGGAAGTTTGTTCATAGTCAAAAAATATCGTAACACTGGATGAAAAAGTCTGAGATGCAAGAAGTCGCAATAGTCAATGTGTGATTGTGATTGGTTTTGTTAAATACCATTACAAACTGAAGTACTGGACTTTTTAATTACTGTTAGATTAAGTATTTTTAGCAGTTGAGAAACACATTCACACATGGTGTTATCTGTTTTCTCTTGTAGTCCTGAAGGTTCAGATTTCACTAAACTGACCAGTAACTGGGCTACAGTGTGGGTCAAGGTCAGCTCCAGCTGGGCGTGTCTTGCTCTCTACCTCTGGACCCTGTTGGCCCCAGTCCTCCTCCCAGACAGAGACTTTGGTCACTGACCTGGAACAAGTTCTCCCTCTGTGCTTTGGAGAGTTCATTAGCTAGCTTGTAAATTAACTGCTGAGATTTTCAATTGCAGGCAGTGTTGGTTTTAGTTGTCAGGACTTAGGGCGTAAGCCCAAGTATTTAAAAGTGAGAAAACTTTCTTCCCTTAATCGTTCAGCCCCAGAGACTTCTCTCTTTCATGTGGCTACTGTTTTATATAAGAGCAAATTGCTATTACATGTAAGTACTGTAGTGAAAAGTAAGTTGTGACTAATGTGAGTTACAAAACTATAGAATATGTGCAGAGACAATGTCCTGTCTAATAGTTCCTTGAAAATTTGTGCCGTAGAATTTCAGTTTGTATACCTTACTTTCTACATCGTAAATTTTTCATAAGCAATCTGTAACTTCTTTATTGTAAAATTAAGGGTGGCCATTTTTTTTTACAGGGTGTGTGTGCACTGCACTGCACCCAGAAAATTGTTAAGTAACGCATTGTAGATCGAGAAAGTTGTAATTATTTCTCGTTTTGGTTTGTGTTTTCCGTAATTGTGTTAGGCACTTGAACTCCCGTATAAATGAGACAGCTAAACGTTCAGTACCGAGTATTGCCTGGTATTTTACAAAACACTATTGTTTTATTTTGTGGAATTGTTCATTGATATGGATCTTTTCTTTTATTTCGTTGGTGACCTGATCAAATGGAATAATCTTACAAGTTTAATTGCTCCTACGGCTTCAGGGAGCAAAGAGAGTAGTGAACGTTTTTGGAGGTTTTGAAAACCTGTAAATGAGATAAAAAGGAACATATTTCCACAAGTAATTCCAGAATACCGCACAGCATTAATTTGTGATAAGTGGATAATGAAGAAAGAAAGCTCGTAAAATTAGGAGCTTGTTAATTATGGGCCATGCTTGATGTTTCAATGTTGTAACCTGGCCTAAGTTAAAAATTAACGGAGTTTCTGTGAATAAAACCAGACCAAATAAAAAAGTTTGGGGTTTGCCTATTTTATTATTTCTAGATGAACTGTTGAAAAGCACTCTGTTGATGCGTGTACCATACACTGTGTCATATTAATGTTTATGTCGTCTCTTATCGAACCTTGAGCAAGTTGATTTGGGAGAAGAACAAATGAAAACACTGGAGGAAGCTGATCTTATTCTTCAGTACAAAAAAAATACGTTTCCCAGGGAGGGGGGGGGGCGGGGTTGATACAGGATTTTTCAGCAGGGAGGTGGCTGGTATCTTGCGATTGTAGAATCAATGGGGCAAGCCCACAAAATGCAGTAATTTGAGAATTGGAACCTAATTGAAAACTATTGCACCAGAAGCACTGTCTATGCCACAAGGTAGAAATTACGATGAGGTAGCTGTCCATAATATTCACAATTGTTATCGATTCTTTATTATTTATTTATTTATTTATTTATTTATTTATTTTATTTTATTTTATTTTATTTTTTTGGCTCCTCCAAAGAGGGAGTGGCAATCCAACATTTCCCCCCTCCTAATCCGTCCCTGTTTTCTCGCGAGTGCGCCAGTTATTGTGATGTAATCATGACGTCATGAGGAGGGCCGGAGCTAGTAACAGGCCAACTGAGGCACTTGCCTTGGTTACAATCTTGAGGTTGTTTAAGGTCATTCCCCAGTATTGCATTGCGCATCCCTAATGCGCATACTTTCACACGGGATTAGCGCGCGCGCATTAAAAAATGGCGGCTTTTTCTTTGCGGCTCGACCTCGCCATAGAGGTAACTCGTCATTTTCTCGAAAACGAGTACGGTGACCTATCATTTTTTTTTTTTCTGTTGTGTTGAACTGAGTAAAACATTTCTCTATGTAAAATAAATATGGGCCAGTTCTCAGTGTTGAGCAAGAAACAATCGACGGAAACGTAAATTTAGCAAGCAATCGTGACTATAATCATGGTGCCATTATAAGGATTTATATGGTATAAACAAGGTGCTGTTACTCCTAAACGAACATGGGGACCCCTCATTTTTATTTCCAAATTCAAGTTCCTACAATATAAACAGTCAATAAGCAAAGTTTGACAAAAATCTCAGTGCAGGTTCTATTTCAGTGGAATGACCTTAAGGAGATAAACTGTTAGAGGCTATACCAGGTACATTAAAAAATAATAAATATGACAGACTTTTTTGCTTACAGTAATTGCATTGGTAAGAACTTTCGCACGGCTAAAAATTCCACGTAGCAGGGGATTGCTCGCCCCACTATCCCCTGCTTCGTCGAGTTTTTGCTCTCGCTCGAATAGGCCATTAATTAAATAGATCAAATTTTGCCCCCATAGGGGACTGGAGCTAGCATTAGCAAAATGGTGTATTTACGCGCGACCAGAATGGGGGAAAAAGTTCTTCGTATGGAAACGCTTGCTATACGTAACCTTAAGGCTTGGGGAAACAAAATGACACCTCGAAACTGCGCTACGGGACTCAGTGTGCAACGTTAAAACTAAGGCCACAAATAACATCTGTAAATCTGGAAGAGAGAACTGACTTAAGTCACATTCTCACAGTTAAAAACGCTGAAAATTGTTAGTAAGTCTTTGATGCTCATGTTGCCAGCTGAATGCCCGAGGTGTGGACTCCCATATGTAAAAGTTGCGGATGGTCGTCGGAAAATTTGAATTAGCCCAGGGTTAGGGCTAAGTGAGACCAGAATCGTTGATTTATACCCCTAAGGGAGACAACGAGCATCCCCGACCTTTTATTATGGGAGTCCCCCCCTGGGGGCTGGATGTGACACTGTACCTTTTTGTGAAGTACCCTCACCCACCCGAGTGATGCTCGAAATTTCTTTTACAATTTCTGCGATCAGCCGCCAACTCAGTTACAAAACTTCAATAAGGCGTCGTCTCGCTTGTGAAAAATAAAACAGCTCTACTTAAGATATGAATAATTGATGAACAAATGGCTTTTCTATCAAATATGTATTGCCCAAGGCAATTGATTCTTCTTGCAAATTAAAATGGGAAAATTAAAAAGTCGAGTCATTCTTTAGTTCAGCTCTTTCGAAGTGCGCTTCGGTAAAAACTGGCTTCTAACAGTATTTCAATTACGATAGGGCCCGTGATACCGCCTTGTTGTTCCAGAGACGAGCAAGCCGCTTTGCAGCTTTTACAATATTTGTTCGGCTAATTGAGCTAACGCCTCAGTTTAATGGTTCGCGCAAGAAGCGTGAAGTGCAAATAGTCTGCCACATGCTGAGTTTTAAGAGACTCGAGTTTCTAGTTCAAAACAATTCGAGATTTTCTGTGACTTGAAAGTCCTCCAAGGTAAGTAACTTGATTTAAGTTTTTTTCTTCTGTTAGGGTCAACTGAAGCTGATGGGGAAAGTCTTTTTAAGATGGTGTAATTAGACAAGTTGCCATGGAAAAAGTAACTGAAAAACTGAGCAATTAGTATATCACAAAACATATTGAATGGTACGTGAACGAAATGATTAGACGGTTGCGAAGTCATTTATCAGTTCCAAGCCGCAATCGCATAGGCCGTAAATACGTAATTTTTTTTACTACAAGGTCGTGATCTACAAGATGAAAAGATTTCCTACAGGAGGCAAAATGTTAAAATGTTAAATGTTGAATGTTCATATTGGTCGATGCGCTTGCTACAACTTGCTAGTTCTCTGGCATGCCACTTGAACCGAAAGAAAGAAACATTTCAAATAAACATAGTAGGCTTAAGAATCCCAACTGGCAGGAGGCAGACTAATTGGCTATAAAAGACAAGTCCATTTACATGGTTGCTGTCTAAGCCAATAACCAATCGGTCAGCAATGTTGAGCAAAGTAGTTTCTGTGGAGTAGTGTTTTCTAAAGCCAGACTGGAATTTATCAAGCGGCGGGAAAGCGTAGAAAGAATCACAGCTATGTAAATGAAGTTCAACGACTTTCGACAGCACTGGTAGCAGAGAAACGGGGCGGTAGTTGTTCTTATTCAATTTACTGTCACAATTATGAAGGGGTATAACGATTGCTTCCTTCTACACTGATGGAAACACACCACTTGCGATGCAGGTGTTAATCATACCTCGGTGTAGCAATTGTGGGGGCAGCAATGTTCAGTAAACGAACGTTCAAACCATCAGTAACACCACCAGAACCTGTCCCGATGGAATACAGTAACTTCTATCAAACACTGCGTTTCACAGGCAGAGGTTGACATGAAGGTCAATTTGGTTTCAGAACACTTGTGCTTTCTCGGTGGCCTCAGTTGCATTCAACGCATCTTGATCCTTGTCAGCTGCTCTCTTTTTGGTGGTCCAGTAGATTAAGCGTTCGTGTAATTACGTTCCATTTTCTTTGAGAAAGGTCACTCCATCAGAATTTCTCTCGGCAGCTGTGATTGCCGACGTAACTTTGTTTTTGCCCAATCTAAGAGCCGACTAATCTTCGACAGTGTTTGATGACTTTGGATGTTTTAACAGCTGATCTTGTGACTTTTTAAGCTACTTAAAATCTGGTTGTGTTTCGTTTTTGATGTTTTTATGTTTACATGTGTAAGTGGCACATTTTTTAACGGCCTCTTTAAGAAGGGAGTACCTGCTGTCAACGATATCTTGAACTTCATAACAAACATAGGCCCTGTCCCAAAGGGGTTTCCTGAAGGGTTCGGCAGAAATTCTCGGGAGACAATCGCCTGCATTTGAAGTTAGGGTAGTGAATGAACTTACAATTGTGGGCATTTCTCAAAGGTCAATGCTAAAAGGAACGAGCCTCCAAGAGGATGGATGGGCGGACATGCAAATATCAGGGGATGAAATGTTTACAATACGTTCAGACTTATTACCTCAGATATAAACAAGGCAGGAACCACTGACTGGACAAGTAACAGACGAAGCCAATAGATCAGTCAGTTAATCAATCAATCAAAGCTTTATTAACTTGTCCGAGTTTAGCTAGCCGAGGGAAGACACCCTCTCTACTAACTGAGGTCACTTCTTAGCGTAACGCGTAACAAAATAACCTAACAATATTTAATCGGAAATCGAGCGGTTGTTATCGTAAACCAACACATATGACAAAAAGATAAGCTCAGTCTCGGCTCTTTGTTTTCAACCAGCCTTTTATGATTGGCAGCTTTACACTGGATGGGCGGTAATTACCTGCCAACAAGAGCGGTCAGTAGTCTTAGAGTTGACAAACGTTTCCGATAGAATAAGGATATCAAGGTTCCTTACACCACAGGTATCTTTATTTGTTCAAACTTCGTCTTCGTGAGGTAATTTGCAGAGGGTGTTGAATTCTACCTCAGTTAGTCCAGGGTGTGATGAAATGCCTCCACATAATAAGAATTACATGGAGTTATTTAATTCTGCCTCAGAAACACTTTACTGTGATTGTCTTGGTGATAGCGCCATCTTGTTCTTGACTTTTGTGATAACAATTGGAGCGAGTGAATTCGAATTCAAGTAATCCTAACAAGGGCAAAATTATATATTCCGACTGGTTCCTGGCACGTCTATTTGTTAGGTAATTGTCATGCCGGAATGGAGGTGACTAACATGCACCGGGTGTCTAACTGTCTAGATTGAAGTTTTCAATTATAGATTATTGAAATATAATAGATTATTTATCAAGTTTGTTCAGTCAAGATGTCTGGATACTGGCCACGTTTTGTTTTGTCTGTGATGGATGGAGACGTCGATCGATCAAGACGCACCGGTCGACGTCACGCCGATCATCTTCATCTCAATTTTACAAGTTCTAACACGCTCCTTCCCCCATCACCATGGTCACGCTAGTAACACACATTTGGCTCTCATCATTACCGGGTGGGGCCCCTCCATTACAGTTAGCTACAATCTGTAACTTGAAATATTTATGTTCTTTACCGATACTTTTCTAATTTCAAGTCAGGTCTGATGGCTTAGGTAAGAAATCGACAGTTCAAACTGATGTTATAACCATTTGATCGATCTTGTTCACACACAGGAATTATTCCAATGTTAAGAGCCGTTCACATATCAAGAATGAACACTTACATGGGATTGGCTTTACTTTTCTTGGGTTATTTGTTGCCACTGAGCAGAGGTGAGAAAATTTCTTAACCTTTTAAAAGCCACAGCTCGTGTTTTCAAGATGTTTGACGGGCGCCTGCTATAAACATGTTTTATTACCTTACATTAGAAAAGAAAAAACGCTATAAAAAAACGCCGTAAAAACAAACAAATAAAAACTGAGACGAGCTGAAGATTCAATATTTCATCCGACTGGGAAATGTGACGAGGTGCAATCTACCGTCCCACCCTTGAAATCCTGCTGTACTTCGTCTGCAAAATACTTGTTCGATTTGTAGCATCTTTTTATCCAGTATTAAGAAATTAAAAGGAAGGTACAGCTGTATTGAATTTGCAATAAGGAAAAGGTGATCGTCACTGTAAATAGAAGGTCAAACTGTTTAGAGGGAAGTACAATTTCATGCTTTTTAAACGCAGATCATATTAACAGTTTTTGTGCCAAAAAGTTCAAATAAATTTGGCAAACTATGACCTATGCCACGGAGGGTAAATTAAAACTCTCTGCGTGGGTTAGCAGCATCGGAATAAAACAGACTTTTTAAAATTGTTTATTCTTACCGCAAACTGATTCGGATGTAGATTATTAGGGAATGAATTTATAGATTACTTTTCATTTAACTTGCCTAATAACTTGAATTTATTTTTGCCTCCATGGATAAATGAGCTTTAAGCTAAATATTTCTACGTCTAATGCTTTCTGTTTCGTTATCACAAGGGTTAGCACGTAAGAGAAGCGGTCTTTCGACCAAGACCGTTATTCCAGTTTCCCCGCTGCCTCCTACAGCAGATCAAAACGCAACAAGTCAACAGCCTGGTACCGAGACTGGTTTTGTTGTAACACCGCTCCCGTGGCCACATAGTACCAATGTTGCTGTAAGCTCAACAGCCGTCGCTTCACATACCACTCCACCTCAAGAAACCTCGACCACAACAGCGGCTCCCATGGAATCAAATCAAGGTAAAGATTATGTTATTTCTGTGATAATTAAAGGCATGCTTTCTCCCTAACCTCTCCATTTTTCACCCAAATGCCCAATCACGTTATTTGCCATCTGACAAGCACTAAACACAACACATGTATTGATATACTCACGCTGGCAATATACACTGCTAGCCGGTTACAAAGGAAGAATAAAATAAGGTAGCCTAGATTAAGTAATTTTTTTTACATTTTCAAAATGCATTTTCCATCGAATAAATTAGACAATGCTATTTTTGCACTTTGGTTACAGTAACTTTTACTTGTGCAAGCTTCATCTTTACATTTGACATGACGGGTTTTGCTTTCCTTTCAGCACGTTCAAGGACAATTGTCCCGGTTGGTTGCTATCGAGACTCCTACGTACAACCACGGCCTCTTCCCGAACTGATAGCCACTATCGATGGTAAAGATGTTAATAAAACTATTATGGCATGCGCTGAGAAAGCGCGTGAAAAAGGGTTCAAATTCTTTGGGATCCAGTACTACACGGAGTGTTGGAGTGGTACTGGCGCAGAGAAAACTTATGGACGGGATGGTACATCAAAGGACTGTGAAAATGGCGTCGGGAAATCTGCAGCGAATTTTGTGTACAGGTTTGGGGATTATAGTGAGTATTTCACGGATCGGTTTTCAAGTAATCTAACACACGTAGCTGTAATCAAGTTTTGCTTTAAATTTACAGTGACATTTTTTTTTTCTGCGAGTGATTTTTGATTAAGCGCGCGAGCGACCGCAAGGTGGATGAAACAAATTGTTTGTCCTCCCCCAGCCCCACCCTCCTGCGTTTCGGCTCGTTCATATCTCCCGTGGTTGATTATTTGGTTTGCGATCTCGACGAACTCAAGAAGAAATAGAGGGTCCTTAGACGGACCAATAGAACATTAATCAGTGCGATCAATTTGTTGGCCAGGACTTGTCATTACTCATAGACGCCCTCATATTGGTTATGTCGATATTTTTTCCTGTGCAATGTGAAAACTACGTTACTTGCAAAAACTTTCGGACGATTTTAATTTCGAACAAAAAAGTGTCCAAAATGAAAACCGTCCCAAATTTTAAGCGTCCGAAATATATACAGTACAGGATAAAACTGTTAAATAGCTCCAAAGCCGCTAGTTTCCATTATGGAGCAAACTCTACTTCAAACACTACTTGAGATACATAGCGTCTTGATGAATTTTTCTTATTTTTCCGTCGGTGTATCTGTAAAACATTGAGGATGTAGTAAAACTATCTTTTTCACAGACGTTATTTTAGTCTAAAACGTGTTTTGTAGGCGTAAATTTACGTTAGCCATGTTTCAGCAAAGAGTCCGAAATTGTTGTCCGAAATTTGTCCGAAATGCGTTAAAAGTGTCAAAAAATTAAACGTTGATCTTTTTTTTTTCCTCCAGAAATGCCTCCTTGCCCACCGTGTGCCAAGCCGCGCCGCCTGTGTTTTCCCGCCGTTTCTCGAGTGACGCTGGAGTCGGGTGTGAGCATCACTATGAGGCAGCTGAGCATTGGAGACCGAGTCCGGACACTGGGAACGAATGGAGAAACAATCTTCAGCGAAGTGATCGCTTTTCTGCACAAAGAAATCAAGACTGTGGCACAATTTTACATCCTAAAGACCAACAGAGGAAACGTCGTTAGATTGTCGCCGCAGCACTTGATTTTCAGGAAGACAAATACTTCGTCGCCAATTTCTGCCGTATTTGCCTCAGAAATCAATATCGGAGACTTGCTTTATACTTCGAATGGGAACATCACTGGCTTTCAAGCGGTGAATCAAATTGCCATGACAGCAGAGACGGGCGTATATGCTCCCTTAACTAGGCAAGGGACTTTACTGGTAGACGGTGCCCTGGTGTCGTGTTATGCTCACTGGTATTCTCATGACACCGCTCATCTAGTAATGGCGCCTCTTAGAGCTGTTAACACGCTCTATGCAGCCTGGAAACGACTGGCCAGTGTAATTCATTTGACACAGTGGCACACTTCTCAACAAACAGAAGGGATTCATTGGTACGCTAGTGTTCTTATGCCATTGACCTATATCTTTCTACCACTGTAACGATAAACATCGACGGAATGATAACCTAAACAAGATCCTCCACTGAAGAAGTGCAGATGGCCAAAACAAAACAAAAAAGTTTAACAAGCTAGTTTAGGTCAATAGAGTCTCTGCAAATTAGCCCGTAACTTAGATTTTATCACTTGATTTTCGCTTTTGATAGAGAAAACGAGTGTTTTAACTGAGTGAGTAATTAGAGCGGCTTTTAACTGTCGTGAAACCAAACCAATAGGCTATATTCGTATTGCTGGTATTGGACTGAAACTACCATCATGGACAAATTGTGTTGGAAAATGCCAAAATCATGAAATCATAACCGTAATACCTACAGAATGAGTGTCAACAGCCCCATTCGCCCATTCAACGTTGGAAAATGGTAAAACGCAAACTTGTGTCAGATGAAAGTGTTTTGTCAACATTGCTCAGGGTTGGGGAGAGGCAAAATGTGTATAGAATGATTTTTGTCCAACCCTTGTGACCAAGGTTGCTAGCTTGCAACTGAGGCTAATGCGGGAAGTCTTTTCAAATGCAAATGACATTAATCCCATCTTAATGATACTCCTCGATACGAGCCTCCATTGCAAGCTAGTTCCAGTCCAATACCGAGAATACCAATATGGTCTATTTGATTTGGCCGTTATGGAGAGGCAGGGGTGTAAGATGGCACCTGGTTTTTCTCGGGGTGCAACATACTTTGCCAACACATGCTTATTTTAGCATATATAAATCAAAATGTATTAATAAAACTAAAAATAAACAGAAACAGAGACACGGCACAAGATTGTGACCACCGTTCGTCAGTCGTTGATTAACTGGTCGTTGTCGAGAGGTCATTTTGGAAATAGTTTTAGTGGCCGTTGCAGTGGCCCGCGGGCAGGCTCACCTTTTAATCACACGTGCGAGTGACGAAGAGCAAAGCGATCGGCGGGATGGTCTCGTCTCGCAGCTTCACCACTCGATTACGCGCTAGCGACTACGCCACTCGCCTTGTGCTACAAAACGAGAGCCTGCTCGCAGGCTACCGTTGCCGTTGTGGAGAGGTGGCTGTTGTAGAGAGGTTGACATAAGAGTGAACGTATGGACTGTCCGCCGGAACCAAAATAGTGGCCGTTAGTGGAGGTTCCACTGTGTTTCAAGTTTCTTTAAATTCACTGTCGGTTTGATTTGTTGATCATCAGTTACCAGGGTACAAGTGCTCTTTGCATTCTTATCACCCTCGTGAGGCGCTAAGACTTGTTATTTCTTCGGATTAGTCTGGTATAACAAAAAAACTCGGGTTCACACGAGTTGTCTTTTTTATTCACTTGTTGCTCAAAAATTGTCTAACAACTATTACACTTGAAATGGAGAGGCATTTGCATCTAATGCAATACTGGTATTAAAAAAACTTGGCCTGCGCGCTTCAGGAGCCTCTGTTCTCAAGATCTTTTACTTTGTAGATTCTGACAAGCCAATGCTCGGTGGTGTAAGCTTCTTCCAACACGTCAAGTTCGAATTCCTGTCAGACAAAAATATTGTCATTAATTTGTCAGCTAATAATTAATCACAGTTCTACCGTGTGACTTGATTAGGAGATGATAACAGTCAGACATGGTTTGGGTTTGTGTATGAACAGTAAATCCTACACTACATTAGGAGGATTCTTGAGTGGTTTTCATTTGATTGTCGTAAAATCAAATGCCAGAGTTATGACTTTGGCCAGGTTTAGCCAGTCCCAGAGGCACAGGCACTCCAGTGAACAAAACAAAACTAGAAGTATACAGCTGTTTCGAGAAAGGTTGTCGGAATAAGGTGTAAAAGTGCACGCGGGAACCCCGAAAGGTAAAACATGGCGAACGTCGTTTCTTAGGATTTCTTTTTCTTCAGACTTGTGGAACCAAGGTTCTTTTCGCCACACTCAGACTGAATTTTAGAAAAATTTCAATTAAACGTCATGTCACGGTAAAAGAAAAGCTTCAGAAAAACGGTCTTATGAGTGGAAAATCTAATGTATCCTTGCTAATATTTCACATGAAAAATTAAAAATTTGTAGATTTCCTCTGCAAAGACCATTCAATCTTGTCGCGTAGGCTCGACACTTTCTTCCGACAACCTTTCTCGAAACAGCTGGATACTTGTAGCACACGCGAAGAGCGGGAAAGCATGTGCGAGTAAGTCACGATAATTTAGTTCAACTTCTGATCGCATGACAAAGTGGCGCGAGTTTTCTAAGGTAATCACCTTTTCAAAACAAAATCAAATGCGAATTTCTTGTAACCACTTACTGCTTGTAATCGCTGCTTCAAGTAAAGGAAAACAGCGAATGAAATGTTACTGCTGGTATGACATAATTTTCTGAGAAAATGACAGGCTTAAACAAACTGGAAAAGTAAGAAAATGTCTAACCTTGTTTCCGATTTCCGCATTACGCACACGATCGTAACCAGTCGGTTTTCCTAAACAAAATATACATCACAATTTAGATTATAATGCTGGATGACTACGGGGTATACAGAAGAGAGTAGACCTGGTAAGGAGTCACGTGTCAAGTAGGGAAGCAGAGTGGAACCCCATTTCTCTGGTCACCAACGGGCCACAAAAATCTGGCCGTATTAGAGGTGTTCTTTAAAGTAATATGAAAATGACTGCCCGCGATTTTGTTCGGGCCAGAATTAAGTGGACGTATGTATTAACGTGGTGGCCGTAAGGCGGGGTTTCACTGTAGCTGCATAAACACGCATGTTACCTTGTTCCGTGTAAACAGAGCCAAAACGATAGTAGCACATCTTGTACATCAGACAGTTGAGCAGGATCTGGGAACCACCCCTGTCGACACGGAACTCTCCAGTGGGGGTGTAATAATCATGCTCCTTAATGTGCTGGCCCTTTTCTGTGCTCCCTCCAATACGGACCATCCACAGGAACTTGTTGATATCTAGAACGAGGTTAAAACACGTTCAGTGACCAGTGCACAACACATATAAGACCACAGTTCAGTTAAGTTAGAGGCGCGGTGGCCTCATGTTTAGTGCGCTCGTCTCCGGATGGAGCGGTCAGGGTGCGAGCCCTGGCCGGGGACATTGTGTTGTGTTCAAGACACGTTACTCTCACAGTGCCTCTCTCCACCCAGGTGTATAAATAAATGGGTACCGGCGAACTTAATATGCTGGGGGTAACCCTGCGATGGACTAGCATCCCATCCAGGGGGGAGTAGAAATACTCCTAGTCGCTTCATGCTACAGAAACCGGGATAAGCTACGGCCTGACGAGCCACTTCGCTAGTATGCAGACTTTCTTACCTTCAGTCGAGTTACGTAAATGATTGAAGTACCTACCGTCAGAGGCGTATCCAGTCAAACCACCGAATATCACCAACACGTAATTAACATCCAGTTCCCGCATGATCTCGTACGCTTTATCTTCACTTGATGCCATAGCCTGGTCAAATAGATGAAAACACTTGGATTAAAATCACTTCCTCCTCCACACAGTGAAACACCTTTATACCCTCTTTCATTCTCTTTTATTTTCTTATCCCAAGCCCAAAGTGCCACAACTAATATTAAGTTTGCCAAACAACTTAAGCACGGTTCTCAAACTATATTTCCTAGGTTTGACGTGATCAGTTTGAAATGCCTGTGGCATTTGCCTCTTCCCGATTATCTTTTCTTTTCAACCTGCTCTCAGACCGCACTTGTCTCCTTCAGACTAGGATTAGGTAAACACCTTGTACACGTATAGTTTGCCAAGCTAAACTATTAAAAGTTGTCTTAACGTGTTGCCTTCAACCAAAAGACCAAATGAGCAAGACAAAAGGACTTTTATGATACTTGGAATGAAAGCTTTTATGTCGTCCACAAGCGAGACCTACAAACCATGTGAAATAGGATTATAGGTACTAGATATGGACCAGGCCTGGGTTGTTCGAAAGGTGGATAATGTGTACCGTGCAGTGAACACATGAACTACAGCTGTATCTTCGGTTTCGCTTCATCAAGAAACGTATGTGATAGGCAAAATATCATACCTGCCCCACCCTGGAGATATGTGTGTTGTTCCACGTGTTGTTGTCCACTAATATGGTTCGATTTGCCATAGCCGTGATCTGATAGCCGTAATCCCACCATGACATTACTTTGGAGTCCTACGTTGTACAACACAAATTGGTATTACAATATATCACAAATAACAACATTAATGACATAATTATTGAAGAATGCTAAAAGTGCCTTGGAGATTTATGAACCTTTTTGTCGAATCCGAAAATGATGCAAGTATTTTCCAAAGATTTTACATGTAGTTTGATTTCACTGTAGTAATTTTCCTCAGCCAATACCTTCAACTACCCTTAATCTCTCCCTAAAGAGGTTCTAAAGTGAACCCAATACAACAGGTTAGCTACATGTATAATAATACTGTGAGCTACAATAATACTATGAACCTCTAAAACCGCCTAATTGTTTATACTAGGCTACTGCCGAAACAACTTTCCAGTAAGAATTAACATTACTATGAAATGTCCAAGACTGTTGTTATCTCAATGACCAACTGTAATGTAAAAAAAAAATTACTAAGTGTGAATGAATGACTTGTACCTCTGGAGTGTTTTGTCGGAGCCAGTAGTAAGCCTCACGGAAATCATCAAATATGACTCGGGAGCCGTCATGTTGCTTGGCTGACAGGACAATTGACGGCGAGGAATATGCTTCAGAAGTGACCCAGGTACAGTGGAATGTGTATGTAATCAACAGTAATGACATCAAGCCAACCATTGCTGTGGCAACTTCATTCTTGATTGGATAACTGGGATCACTTTTCTTTGTTGTCTTACGGTCACGACGAGAAACATCCAAATTCTAGAAAAATATCAAAATATAAATCAATCACAGTTGCACTGAACATTAAGAACAAGTCACACTTGAATGGACAAAGCATTAAGGAAAACAAGTGTAGTTTTCGAAGATTCTCAGTCAAGTCTAGGAAAAGTTCAAGTTTCACCTCGCAGTGGCTTGTGGGGCCATTACTGGGGACAGAACAAATGGCAAAAAGCGATATTGTCCCCAGTAACAATCCCACAAACCACTGCAAGATGAGACTCACCCAGATTTCTTCTCCCTTCTTAAGTGGCAAATTCAATCAATCTTGAGCAATCACAATATTTATATTATAGTACATGTTGATATAACTATCATATGGATTTATGTGGACATTAAATGCACATCAAGTCTATAAACACCATGGAGTGGATCTGTAAACCTCTCAGAACCAGAATGTGGGATAAAATGCGGTATTTTTCCTTCCTTTCTCCTTTTTCAGTGGAAGATCAGTGGTCGCAACTTAAAAACAATCAGAGAGATATTTAAAACCGTTCAATCACTAGCAAACAAAGTATTTGTTCTATAACTAAAAACTGCCTTAGTACCAGAAACTGGAGTAAGCTAAACTTGGGAAAATATTGGCTGCTTTTACAAGCTGAGCACAATTTACCTTCATGTAAGTTGTAAGAATAGTTGAGACACTTATTCCAGACAGAATGCAGGCCACTGGAGCCAGCACCAACATCAGACGCACCATCACCCCCTGAAATGAAACAACAGGATACATAGATACTCCTCTTAAAAGCCATTTAGTAAGACTGAAATAGATCATCTCTTTTTTCATATGTCTGTGATGATCAGAAATATTTTATTTTTTCAAAGCTTTGATTCACTTCCCCAATAAAGTACCATAAAATATTCAAATTTTGGGTTCCATATATAACGACAAACATCTTCAATGACAACCTGGTGACCGAGCCAAATTCAATAGTAACATGGCTACAGGGACAACAGGGACTAGTTTTTGAGACCATACACATCATGGAAGCTCTTACGATCTTTCTTCACTTACAGCAAAATAGATGCTTGTGACACCATACATGATGATAAAGATGTTGGCATCTGTAAGCTTGTAAAAGCAGTAATACAGGCCCACAGGAAACATGAACACCATGAGTTGCAAATCAAAGTAAAATGACGACCATGTTGTCGGTTGATGTTCAGAAACGGAGGCAATAATAGGAATGTTGTTCTTGGCATAAGATGGATCCAACAGAGAGTAGAAGCGGCCAGTCCAGGGAGAGATTTTACCAGTGAAGGTTAGGATACCACCAACAGTTGTGACACTGACTGCTGCAACCAGCACAACACTCTTAAACAGCAGCTGGAAGTGCTCTCTAGGCATACGAGCTCGGACATAGTCGACAAATGCATGGATCTGGCACAGACCAAACACACCAAAGGCCTGAGGAAAATATAAATTTACCAGTCATTTTGTTATGGCTATGAAAAGAAGTCAACACATAACAGCAGGTGTATTAAACAAACAAGTGTAACTCACAGCCATGTGTTCACTTGACTGCACTGGCTGGAACCCGACAAACGAGATCTGCATTGACAAGATGGTTCCCAAGCAATAAACCTATGAGGATGGAAAAGAAAATCAGTCTGACTTATATATTCACAGTTTCATAGTAAATGGTTTGAACCCAGGAGTATCAGTAGTTCGTATAGTGTGATCGTCCGGGTGACGGTTCGGGTGTAAGTTACCAACAACAGTTCTTTTCAGAACTAGCCTCACCCAGACAATCACACTATACGAAATATTCACAGTTGCATATATGTAGGGAAAAAGCTTTACACTATAGATAGTAGGGTATTACCAGCACATAACGTATAACATAAAATTAAACACAATTAACCTATTCACAGAAACTTTCTTCTTTTTTTGCTACCAAATCAAGTTTAAGGTGAGCTAAGAGCTTGAGCAACTCATTTTGCCTAGAAGATATTTCATGAGTTTTGTTCCCTCTGTTATCGTAGTAGACAGTCTCAATTCTCCCACTTATTATCATTATGACCCTGCATTGCCATAGAGTAATATCTATCAAAATAACTCCAGACCTACAGTTTCAGCAAGTAGGTTTGGATACAGCAGGAGTTTCTTTCACTTACTGAGCAGTATGCAACGTAGATTCTGTGTGAAAACCTGCCAGTTATCATCAGAGCTAAAACATGGAGAGGAATCAAGTTGATAAGGAACACATATCCTCCCCATGAGGAAACCTGTAAAGCAGGAAAAGTGTGTTAAATTAAGACACACAACTTTGATAATTTCCTTTATTCCTAACACCTTCCTGCATATCAATGTAATCCATTATTGCATTGAGGAATTGCATTGAACATCCTCAGGAACTTCAGTTATAACTGTTGTGTTAGCTTACATGTTAGTTGCATGCAAGATGCATGTTGGTTATTAAAGATGATGTCTTGTAGTAAACAAGTGTTGTTCACTGGAGACTACTTTAAACCCAAATAATTCAACAAAAACTCTAAACCACATAGGCTAGGCACTAATTACCATTTCTCTACATTTCTTCTACTGTGAGTTCTAAGAATTAATTTGATGCCATGAGCAAGGCAATAACTCCTTGCTCATCAGGATGAATTTCTTTTTCTCACTGAACGTTTCTTTTAATTACTGATGCATTAATACCATAAGGAGAATGGACATGTAAAACATCCTCGAAGAATACAAGATTGAGCTGAGTAGAATTACCATGTAGAAGTAAGCCAGAGCGCACAGGGTTGACCAGAACAGTGAGCCAGTTTTCACAGACTTGATCCACAAGGCATATGTTAGCAGCATGCAGAAGATAGCAATCCCTTCATTGTCATACGACCCAGCAACAGAACGTGAGATGTAACCTGACCAGAGGACAAAATGACGTCAAAACCAGACATCCATGGACACCTTGGACAATGCTATTTTCATATGCTAAATGTTATTTCAATAGTTGTGCTAAAATTTGGAAGTAGTACCATACCTGGAACAATGGAAATCATGGCAGCTGCTACTAACCCTGCACTGGCATCCTAAAGACAAAAAAATAACAAAACAAAAACAAAAGTTAGTTTAAAGAGATCACTAGGAATCATACTCAAGAGACAAACAGGACTGAGATGAAGGAATTTTCTTGTAACAATACAGTAGAATCCAGGTCCTGCCCAGCAGCTTAACCAACGAGGTGAGTATCACATCAACCATAAGGAAGGTTTTGGTGTGGTACATGTACATGTACATTCAAGGTCTTGTGAGATATGAAATGCCTGTGGATTTTAAAAGATGTAAATACATGCATCCCAAAAGTGACGGTGTGGCCGAGTGGTTTAGTGCGCTGGATTTGAAATCTGGAGCTCCCTGGTTCAAATCCTCTGCCCTACTGCCATCTGGATTTGTTCTTGGTAGCCCCGAGTTCAACTCCTCGACTGCGTTGTGTAAATAGCCACCTGGTCAGCCTCCCACCAGTTGGGATTCTTAATAGTTTATGTTGTGTTTGAAATATTTGTTTATTTATTTACAGTGTCCCCAATTAGCACATTAGTGCTAAATACATTGACACTTAAATAAAGTGATTATTATTATTATTATTA